CACATTTGCAGGAATGAAATAGTTCACCTCTTCTATATTGTTTTTGGTCACAAACGGGATCATTCTGATTGTTGCTCTAATTCTGTCTACGAACCCTACAGATTGTATGTTAACTTTTGAATTGTCTTTCTTATATGGGGAGGTAGTACAATGATATTCAATAACTTGCTTGTTTGATTGTTGAACTGAACGAAAATGTGAAGTTTTGTGCAACTGAATTTCTAATTTTGACTGCTCTCAAATAAGAAAAATCAGAGGTCTCGTAAAGCATGCGAGAGGCATTACTCCTGTTATCCAGGTAATAAACTTGGTGCATGCAACTCGGGGCATTACTTCTGTTATACAGGTAATAAACTTGGTTATTCAATTGCTGATTTTAGGAAATTAATTGTTCAAAAGTGTTAGGATGCTACTCGAGAAAAAAATCAAGCAAAATGTTTCTTTTCCAGTGCAGAAGAAATAAATGAATAAAAAAGAGGCAATGTTAAAAAGTCTAGAAACAGAATAATCAGGTGCTACGACACCTTCTGTCTTTTAACTATATATGGTATTATTTCCCAATTCTCAAGACATTTGATACCACGCAGACAGATGCGTAACAATAGTGCTGACTAACATTACTCTTTAAAAAAATATTTAAAAAATAATTTTAATTAACCGTTAAGTATATACTTAGCACTCTCTGCGCTACATATTGTACTCTTTGAAATAATATTAAAAAAAAATAAAATTGGTTATAATATACATCGCATGGTATAATCTTTTCAATTCTCAAATTTTCCACAGCTCTCTTTTTTCAGAGAAAATTTTTAGTACACCAGCATTGCTATTATTGAAATGACTTGTGTTGAAGAGGAGGAAACTATGCGAAAGGAGGGAGGAATGTGGGGGTGGCGTGGGGTGAAGAGAGAGAGGTGCACTTAAAATCCACCCGAGGGAGTTGGAAATACTTACAAATTAACGTCTACAATTATTATATAAATAAAAAAAGCAGCATATTCTCCATATAAATTTTGTGCACCCTCCGAGTCGATTCTTTACTCGAAGTCTTTTTTTCTCCCCACTTATTTTCACCAGCCCGCATGATGTTGTTACATAAATACATTTTCACCATACAGATTTTGTGCACCCTTCAGATTTGGTTCTTTACTTGTTGAAGAAGAGCCCTCCTTTCCTCCTTTTCTTCTTTTCACCAGCCTGCATGATGGTGCTACAAATATCTTTAACAGAACATAATGCTCAAAACAATAAAAAAAAAAAAAAAAGAAGGATTATTAGTGTAAGCCAATTTGTAGTTTCGGATGAACTAGTTGAGCATCATCAATGTATTGCTTCAAGATACTTGAATTGACACAATAAAATCCATCCCTTAGTATGGTAGTTTACGATAGAGTTAGTTATATCTAATTTCGGGCATTCAAAACTTTTCATGCATATGGATAAGCACCAGAAGGTGCTTTACACCTAACATCTATTTATCCGTCAAGAGCTACAGTTAACCTCTGACATACTACAAAAGTATACACTGCCATGATATACATATAATCAATCACAAGGAATTTTGCTATAAGGTTCTTAGTCAATCTCGTACTGCTATTCCTGGTTAAGGTTTTAATAAAACATTCTTAGTGTACTTCTTAATGAGACATCATTACCACATCTTTTTAAACCAATAACCAGTAATTCTCTCTCACAGCCACAGGTGTGACCACATAAAATGTCGGCCCAACCTTAGGATGAGATGATGATTGAGGAAAACTAGAGGGATTGACTTCAGAACGCCATGGTGCTAGCTGGTGCTGAGACTCCTTCAGCTTTGCCTAT